AATTCTTGTCACTCATTTTCTAGAATTTAGCCTGCATGTACTTTATGCCCCATGGCCACTCTCCTTCAAAAACCAAGTAAAAATTATTAGCATGCCCTCAGTAAATGCAATTATAATTCTCTGCCCTTTTGCAAGGGAGAAAAAAAACTCATATATAGAGAAATTAACACAATCTGATATACATTTAAAAATCCATCTTAACAGCAAGATCTAACATCAGGACCTATTTTTGAATCTCACAGTTTATGTGTGTTGAATATCAGTTTTGCTTCTTGTTCTGTCCGATTCTCAATTAGAGCCTCCCTCTTCTAGTCCCAGAAGCTCTCTTTTCTGAAGGGAACATCTAACCCCCCCACAAAGCTTTGTGCACAGTAGCTAGCCTGGGACAACTAACCCGTCCCTAACTACACAATGGAGTTGTGACAATGCTAAGGAGGTGTGACAACGTAGCTGTGACAATAGTCACGGATGGTCACCAGGCCTACCCAGGCCAGTCATAATTCTCCCAGTGACTTTTCTCCCAGAGCCATCCCTGAACACTGCCTCTCTGCACTAAGAATGCTGAACTAGAAAGATGTGTCAGAGGCCTTCTGAGGGCTGCCCTCTTCATCGAGTGGCAGCACCTCCATGTAGAATAAAGCCATGTAGAAGTCAGCAGAGCCAAAATTAGAGACGAGAGCTAGGAAGAAGCAGAGCTAGGAAGAAGCAGAGCTCCGATTATAGGTCTGTAATTAAGATCTATTGTGTGACACCAGGGCCCCTGTATTTGCCAACCAAATGAGCCATAAAATTCCCCTTCTAGTTTACTATGTTTCTGTAATCTATAAAAACACCAAAATCCTGACTCATCAACCCACGAAACCTCAAGTTACCACATGTTACAATTTCTTAGGTCTCAGTTTTTAAATAATAAAATAATAGGGTTGGTTTAAATAGAAATATTAAATTAGGTATTCTCTAAGATTTCCCCTTGGATGTATAAATCTATCGCCAGTTGAAATTTTTGTCAACTAAATGTTTAAGTGTTGATTTTATGCAGTAAAAGGTACTAGCATATAAAAAAAAGGTGCAATATTTTTAGAAACATCTGCACTTAATGGTCACTCCTTTCTGACATGAAAATTGTTACTTAGGTCAAAATATCTATTTTTAAGCTTTTCACAGAAAAACTTGAGTAATTATTTTTTTTAAATAAAATATTTATGGGAGCACTTTTAAGTATTACAACAAATAAGGTTGCGTTTAATTCAATAACTAAATTTCACCAGTACACAACTAGAGATTTAAGATCTTATGCACAGAAGAGTACAAACCATATATAGAAATGGATTCATATTGAAATTTCATTTTATTAAATGTTTTCTGATGAACTAAATTCTGATCTCTAGTTAGATCTCAAATTTGCAATTCCTTAGAAATGGTAAACAATTATGATACAGTCAAATATGAAAAATATGCCATTCTAACAAAATAACTGAAAAACCATGTGATATAAAATGAAAGGATATCCTAATTTGAAATAATTAAAGCCTTTCTATAACTATTCTGAGTCTGTAAACATTATAAATAAAAGTGTTCTCAATTGTTCTTCTAAATAAAGTTCTTTTATTCATGATTGTATCCAGAGTTCTCAAAATCGTGTATCTGGCACACAGACATTTTTTGGGTGATAGGCTATTGGGGTTGGACTGGGAGAAAAGGGAGAGGTAGCTGAGGAGGGATAAGGAGTGAGGAGGCTCGGAGGGATCAAGAAAATGGTAAAGGAGACAGGGAAACACTGGGGAGGAGAGATTCAGCAGGAGAGAGATGGAAGGGGAAGGGAAGGTTGAATTAATCTGAGAAGAGCATGAGAGGGTAGGAGGTGGGGGAGGGGGAGGCTGGAGAAGAGGAATGCGCAGGTCGTCATATAAGCAAGAGGAGGTGCCCTGGGGAGAGAGAGAAGGGGGAAGAGGGAAAGGAAGTGGAGAAGAAAAAGGGAAGCAGGAAGGGGAGGCGGGAAAGGGAAGGCAGGAAGAAAACCGAGGGCAAACAGAGAAAGAAGAGAACTTCCTACCTACCTGAATAGTTATCAGACCAGAAAGTGATGTCGCTCTGCATATAAATACTATTTAAAACCTTAATACTCATTCAACTCCAATGAAAATATTCAATATATTAATAAATTCATTACAATTCATAGTGAACATATACAGGTATCTGAATACATGATCAATAAATTAATAAACATAGACCTTATTACACCACATTTTTTGTTACACGTTTTTTTAAAGCTTCATCTTAAATTTGGAAGCATTAGACAATGTACTTAAATTTCAAACAATTTACTTGCTGAGCACCAATAAATACATTCAATGGGTGACTGACACACCTTCCCCCAACCAGAGCAATAGTAAATGTTCTATGCCCTGTAGCAGCAACTCACGATGAAGAAAAAGTATTACCACTTCCTGGGGCGACAGTGCTAGAGCTTCAGTTCTTCCTTTTCTGGTTATCTCCCTTCGCTAAGCGTGCATGTTTGGTAGAACTTCTACCTTCCTTTCTGTCATCTTTTTCTCTGGATGCCATTTTACTAGAAATATCCTTTGTATTTGTTGACTTTTTCCTACTTTCCTTGGTTTTAGCACCTTTATCTAGTTCCACTTTCTCCTTTTCTTTGTCCTTTTTACCCTTAGGAGGCTCTTTCCTGGATATGTCGGAATCAGCCACTTTCTTATCCTTCCGGTCATCCTCTTTTTCTTTCTTCCCCTTTTTTCTCTCTTCATTCTTACTTTCCTTCCTTGACTGAGACTTCTCTCGTTCCTTCTTGAGCTCTTCTTTAGTGAGTTCTTTAACTTTCAAGTTACCCAATCAAAGGAAAAAATGTTTATTGAAAGCGTCTCTTAATTCACAGAACAGCAACTTACTGTAAAAGTATTGTCTTTATTTAAAATCTCCTCACATACTTGAAATGGTCATTCAAACAGTGACCTTAATCCACTAGTTTTAAGTTGCTAAGAACAGAAGCAAATCTCTATAAAGTACCAACTATAAAAGAAATGCTAGAAACTTGCCATCATATTTTTCCAGCTTGACATATGGTATAATTTGTCTTAAAACAAGGTTAACATGCAATATTATTCAAATGAGTGCATCCATAAAGGCAGTAATTACACAAAGTATTAACTCACATTTCACAACTATAATAACATAATTAAAGGAACACTGACACATAAGAATAGTTTCCATAACTTGCAAGTATTTGTACAAAGATAATTTTTAAAATGCTAGCTCTAACAAAGAGCTATCTCCCTAAAATATCTGTGCTTATAATCCTTGAAAACAATATAATGCACAAATGAAAAATTAAATACCATTAATTTTTAGTTAAGAAATATACAATATCCATGAGTATTGTTTTTAAATTCATTATCTATAATGTGTCTAAAATGACGAATAGAATTTCTTTTCTGCTTATATTCCACATTATGAAATCAGTATTCCTTTAAGCATGTTTCCTGTTAATTTTCATAGAGCCACTCAAGCCAACATATATGCTGTCCGTGCTCATGGGGACGGAGCAATTCAATGAAATATACCGGCAATTCCAAGTCTTATATAATATGCTGCTTTCAACTTGCTTCATATCGAGTCTAATAGTGCTGCTAGCCAAAGCTTTGAATTTCACCTTCTTGCTCTCTCACCAGGAAATCGTAAGAGAAGCCAGGCGTTTACTATGTAATGCAGCATTTAAGCAGAAATGAAGAAATTGAAAGATTTCTTTAATAATAAAATGTGGTAGGTGTTTTTCCCATCAGAATCATGTAGAACTCCCACTGCACAAAAAGTTATTGAATTCTTCCCAAAAATTCTTACTAAAAACCTTATAGAAATACAGAACAGCATTCATAAAGAATGAACCATCCAAGTCCCCATTCTACTTGAATGTGGTTCACGGAGCAACACAGAGAAAGACTTTTGCCAAAGCAGAGAGCTTGTGTAATGCTGCCGGGTCCTACTCAGCACACGGTTTTTAAAATAGTCTATCTTTAATGTTTTATTTGCCTCTCGAGATCAAGAAGTAAAATTATACTTACTGGCCATTTATTTCATAATTATATATATATAGGAATAAAATGGCAAAAATTTTGTTGTCGTCCCAGGAATTATTCAGGTGGGATATCAAGTTGAAACATTAAAATTAAAATACAAACCACAAGACCCTGCAAATCGCATAGTGCAAGTCTAACCTGTTAATGTTTCACCAAAAACAAATACACAAACTACAAACAATACGCCAAGCACTTGAACACAAAAGAATATTACAAGTTTATAAAGGAAAACATGCACTTCCCCCATGCCCCTCTCTCTGAAGGACATAAACATTTATATAAGAACAAGAAAAACCAGAGGGATATAAAATAAGGCTGCAATAATAAACTGTTAGCCTACATATAATGGTTGGCAGGTATAGTAATTATGAAAGAATTATAATATCACACACAGCAAATTCTATATTAACATAATACAGTGCTCCAAGGTTATGTATCCAAGTTTTCCTTGTACTAAAAACTATAAGATTGATCACGCTAGCTTTTATTGTGCTCTAAGGGTGTCATCAGCTTAGAAATGAAATGAAATCACTGATGAATTCATCTTTTTTTCCAACAGTAATTTAAACATTCAAACTAAGCAAGTTTTTAGGTTGGAAGGTAGGATGTGTATATGTAAATTTATACATAATAACATCGTGATATTGTTACGATATGTATGTTATTAATTTAAAGACTGTTACAAAGTTTTGATAACATGAAAATGAAATTACTTAGTATTATAGGCTTGAGGCAGAAAATTCTTTAATGAAGTTTTGATAAAACTACTTATGACCAAAGGTGCACCCAAAACCAAAAAGCGATAACATTTAGCATTAGTAGCTGTATTTACATAACATATCTAGAAAATGTCATGCATTTTCAAGCATTAAACTTGATTCACTCAAGGCTAATATGAAAAATAGAAAATACCTTTAGCCTTAGTTTTTCTCTTGGCTACCCCACCAGGTCCTTCTGTTGGTGTTCACAAGATGAAAATAGGTTATAAACAGAAAATATTAAGGTAATTAAAAATAAGTATCTATAAAGTAGTTAAAAGTGATGTCTATTAAACAAATTTTCTTAAATTCATCACTTAAAAAATACACTCCTTCAAAATATAAATGTCTATCACTATGTCATTTTAGAACCTTACTTTCACTTTCAATAACAGAAAAATGCATTATAATCAGCCTATGATTTAGTCAACTTCACAACTTGCGTTAGACCTGAAAGAACTGTTGGCTTTGGAAATAAATGTCTAATTGCCGCAGAAAATGGCGAGTCCCTCTCAATGGGGCCTCCGTAGTCTGGACTTCTGCTCTTTGACAGATGATCAATTACAAGCCCCAAGGGTGAAATGACCTGAGGACTTTACTTCCCTCCTCAATCATCACTGCCATCCAAAAAAAGGATAGCATATTTTAGTAGACTTTTTATCTTTCCTGTTTGAATAATCAGTTTCTTTCCCCATTTTCAAGCTTTCTTTATAAAAGAAATTACACAAGTAAGAACCACACTATTATGCAGATATATATTAACTTCTTTACTGTTCATCAAAAAACTTTGCAAGAGCTTTCTAGTTCCTCTTTTGGCAAATGAAAGTTCTGATAATGGGTTTATTTTTAACCCTCTAACAAATGTCAATACCATATAACTCTCAGTATACTCTTATTCCAACCAGGATGAACTCAGCACCCCAGCCAAGTAAAGTCTTGGTCACATAAATGGTTTGTTATACTCATGTATCTGCTGATGTCATGTATCTTTCCGAAGGGGCATTCCAAGCTGCCAGTACATTCCCTAGGCCCAGGGAGGGATGGTGATTACTATTTGTCTCCTGTGAGGCAACACCATATATAATCTGTCACTCTACAACTCAGGTCTAAACTACTGTCACAAGAAAGCCCCCTAGCCCTTTTACACTACTCCTGTTGTAGAACACACTCTATATGTTTCTCAAAACTGTAATCTCACTCCCACTTCCAGTATAGGTATTTTTACTCCTATTCTGTTACGTTGTTCAAATCATATTCCAATCCTAAATTCCTTACCCTTTCTCTATTCACTGCAATGTGTTGCCATCAAATGAGGTGGCCCATTTGAGAATGGTAATTTATTTTGGTTGAGCTATACTCATCACCATTCTGGGGGAAAACGTGTTACTATGTCTTGCTTACCCCGACTACATTAAAAAAAGAAACATGAATTAACTGTTTTATGTGGCTTTCTGTATCTGTCCAATTACTTGATATACACACAATCATAACGTGTGTGTGTGTGTGTGTCAATTATTTTTCACAGACAAAACTTGATTCTTTCCTAACCTCTATTAAAAACAGCATGCCACATTGTAATACAGAGTGCTATCTTGGACTATGTACTAAAGTTTATTTCACAATAAAATATCAAATTTAGTCTTATAATGCCAATTTTTAAATAACATGGGTATCAACCAGTGTGCAAAAGAAATTAGCACAGGGCCGGTTAAGTGGCGCGATGGTTAAGAGCTGGCTTGGGACGCCAGAGGGCCCCGGTTCGGATCCCACATATGAGGGCCAGTGACACTGGCCTCCACAGCTAAGATGAAGAACAAAACGACAGCAACTTGTCTGTTCCC